TCATTTTTTTATTTATAATCATTTTTATGAAAAATACCCATCATTCTCTCATTTAAGGTTGATAAGAATAATCATACTACAAATTTTTGATGAAATTTCTATAAAAAATATAATGATGATTGCATAAATTAATTATTAAATTAGATATGAAATATTTTTCTTAATCTACATAATTTTAAGCATTAATATTATATTTAAGCATTGAATATAGAATTATGGTTCACCTTAATTTTAATTATTTTTAATATATATTAGTTTTGACGTCATCTCATTATTATTATTAATGAATAAAATCATAGCCATCTTGTTTGTAATATGTATTGCAAATGCAAGATAATATACATTATACAAATAATGTGATTCTGCTTGGGCTAATGATTAATTAGGAACAAGTGCAAATACAATATGCAGAGCAGGATGTTTAATTTCATCTATCGCCATGATGTTACATACTTATAGTGTAGTAACAGATGGTACAACTACTCCAAAAATAATGAATGCATGGTTAAGAAAGAATGGAGGGTATGCTTCTGGCGATCTTTTTGTCTGGGCCGGCCTCAATTAATCCTCTTGGTTTTGTTTTTTAAGGGTGGATCACAACTACTTAAGCAAAATGTAAGAATTATAATTATTTTTTAGATAAATTTGATGCTGGATTACATGTTATTTTGAATGTCAATAATTGTGGTCACTATGTGTTGATGACATCATATTCAGGAGACACTTTCAATGTTAATGATCCTGGATATCCAAGATCAACATATTCAGCTAATGAAGTTAAAGAGGCAGCTTATTATGTCCATAGTAAAATCACCTATTTCAAGAATCATGTCTTAAATATTTGAGTAATTGATTTAGATGATGCATAATAATAATAAATATAAATTTCGTATATCATACATAATCAAAAAAAGATCATGTTATTCATTTATAATTTTCGTCTTTTTTAAGAGATCATTTCATTAAGGCTTAAGTATTTTTATTTGTGTATATAAAAAACTTGAAAGTGCTATTTGATATAGATCTAAAATATCTTTGAATTGGAATTAGATTATTTTAGAGCCTCCTAGCTTTGTAAAATATATGAAATGTTCTCACAGATTTTATTCATTAAAAAACGCTAATTGGTGAAATCAATGCTCAATTGCCCAACCAAAAACTCTTGAGCTCTTTTTCTAATAATTAAAATTTATATGATATATTAATTTTAATTATATATGCTAAAGGTCAAATTTGTGACGAATGATTTGATACCTTCAAGTTTTTTGAAATTTTCAAGAATCAAATAACTAAACAGTTGTTAAATAAACGACTATATTTGATTGAGCAAAGATTTCACACTTTATTACTTTAAGAAATTATACAATTTATTTCGCAAATTATCGTAATGCATTAAAGTATAAATTGATAATAAAAATTCAAATGATATAAATTCTTAATAATCTTTTAGAGATCAAGCATTCACTTCACTTTCTTCTTTATGAATAATTATTTTATCATATTAAATTTATGTAAAAGGAAATCATAAATTTCTATATATTATTAGGCATTCTCATAATTTTTTAATCAGAACTTTAAATAATTATAATAATTAAATCAAGTTAATTGTATTAAAACTAAAACAAGATTTTAAAATAATTCTAAATAGATACTTAAGGAATTATTAAGAATTCCTGTAAAATTCTCGTCTAAGACACTTTATAAGTTATCTAAAACTTGAAATGTAATTAAATTCAAACCTTTAATTTTTTATGATAAATTTTTTGATTCTTTTTATTTTGGGTTTAAATCACTTACACTATGTACTTTCATCCTATGTCCAAAGATTAAATGAGGAATAATAATACTAAACATATCCATTTAACAGTGGAACACAGAACTATA